AATTATTAGTATATGGTAATGTAATGGAAGGCGTTTGGAAGCTCTACCCCGGCTAATTTACCCCAGTGGCCACTAATTTAGTTCTTACCGAATATGCGGTGGCGATGGCCACCCGTGGCTAAATTTATCAATTTAAATATTGGAAACTTTTTAAATATATGTAACAAGCAAATTCTCGAAAATTTTATATAAATCGGTAAATTCTCTGGCCGCAAATTACCCGATAACTGATTAGTTGTTATAAATATTTCCTACCCATTTCTTAATTATATTGAATTAAAGTTAATTCTGTGGATATTTTTACAAAAATTTATAATTTATTTTGTATATTTAAACTAATTATGCTNGAAAATTTTATATAAATCGGTAAATTCTCTGGCCGCAAATTACCCGATAACTGATTAGTTGTTATAAATATTTCCTACCCATTTCTTAATTATATTGAATTAAAGTTAATTCTGTGGATATTTTTACAAAAATTTATAATTTATTTTGTATATTTAAACTAATTATGCTCTAAGATAAGAAATTTTTTAAATTAAACATCACAATTTATTAATTGTGAGCTAAATATAGTAAATGTTATAGCTCTTTCTTGGACTGTAGTAGTTGAAAATATTTTTTCTTAGATTATGGATATAAATAGAGTAAAAAAGAATTAAATAGATTATAATTATTGGCAATGAAATTGTTTTTATATTATCAAAAATTAGTTATTTTTAAATACAAAATGTTTACGATTACAAGAATTCACAATTCTGTGCATTACTCTAATTATATGCTGATATTTATAATTGAAAACATCTACATTGATATAGTTTTATACCAAATACTGTATTTAGTTTGTTATTTAAATGAATTTTGTAATATTTATCTAAACATTATTATCTTGTTAGTATTATATCATCATAATTTACTAAATATTTTAATAAAATATTCTATAAATTCTGTATAATGTTTTAACACCCAGTATAGTCAATATTAATATTATTAATTAAGATAATAGGAGTTAGTTTAGGTCAGTTTAGGATAGGTTAATTTTAACTAGTTAAATTTTCAATCTAAGTGTCCTTCAAACAAATTTTTTCAAACACTCGTGACAGAGACGTTTTATTTAGATCTAGAACAGTTCAAAATTCAAGTATATTTCCGTTGGAAACAGTAAGCTTTTGCCTTCGACACCCCCTCCACATTAAATATCCCTAATATTAAGGTCACAATTATACATATGTATGAATAATTTTATACAATGTATGATAACTGTCAACATGTTGTTTAAACACCCGAGTTAATTTAATACACTCGTGCATCTACATTGTATTTTAATTAATCATGAGCTACATGTATATAATATAGAGGATATAATGTACTTTGTATCGCAGTGTATGTAGACTTCATCTCAATGTCAGTTGAAGTGGAAAATTACTGTACAAACTGTTGCCAAACATTTTGTACTTTACTCTCAATAAATGAAAGTAAATTAATTCTTATTTAGACGTGTATTATATGTGATATATTTATTAATCATATCATAAGATCACTTACCAATGGTGTGGCAATAAATTATAAATTTGATCCATTTCTTTTAAATAAATTACTAATTTAAATAAACATATAGATTAATCATTACAGTTGTAAGTGTGAAAAGAAATAACTTGATCATTGATATTGATTAATCAAAAACAAAATAATTTTTAAATATAAACTACTTCTTATATCGTATAATTTATATTCAATCTTTAAATAATAACTACACTTTTACACTCATTGAATATTTAAAATAAGTGGTTCCATAGTATGAAATCCATACCATTTAAAGTTTTCTCATTATAATCTCATAACACATGGTATAATATGGATTACAAAGGTATAGGAATTTTATAATATCAGGATATAATAGGATATAATATAATTAATATTTAAATGACTAAATAATCAAAATTTTCCAAACTATTTCTAAATAACCTGCAACAATTAATAAGCTCTAAACTGTGCAGTAGTGTAGTAGTAAGTGTTGTCTATTTAATAAACAACTTTACGTTATATGAGTGCTGAGGAATGTATGAGCACTGAGAAAATATTTGGCAGACTTGACGTAAAAAGTGTTTACAAGAATATCTAACTACAAGATTATTGGGTATTAGAGATGTGTTTATATACGCTGTACGCGCGCCCTAACTTTCAAATGCGCGCTATATTTCTTATCAGTAATATTTAGGTATATAAACGACAATCAATTACACAATTAGTTAGTCATTCACTTTATTGCAAAAGAAAAGTATTTTACAAAAACTTTCTACAATAGTATAGTGAATAAATAAGATAATAGGGATGTGTATACGAGTCATGCATTAATCTAGTGATCATATGAATGGAAGAAACTTGTGACTAAATCTTAATACATTTTTTACTCATTAATTGCCTATCAATGAGATACTGATAGTAATATAGTTAAGAATATAATACTTTTCTTAATTTGCATTTCCATTTAACACAAGTTGTAATGTGGTCTCACTTTTTTATAATTATTATTTAAATAAAAGTGATTTACTATTGAAAGGCAATTAGTTTTTATAATTTACTAGTTGAATGTGAATTTTGACACTTAATTTTAAATGTGTTTAAAATAGTAATTAAAATATAAAGTAAGACAAACCTATTTACAACATCTGTATGTTTGAAATCATATTATTTATTAATTAAATTTATTAAAATTATCATATGATTCACATAAACAATATTGTGATTTATTAAGCAATTTCCGTCATCTGATTACGAATTGCAATTATTGTAATATTATTATTTTCATAATACAGTGTTAATGTGAAATATAATTTTTACAAAGAGTTATTAAATTGATTTTGGTTTTAATTAAATAACTAAGGAATTTGATATACATATATAATCTATTCCCTCATTTGTGTCGGTAATAAACAATGTTCACAAGTAGTGATAACTCTGGTGTCAGTGACAACACCGACAACAATAGTGCTCACAAACATAAGTCATACTATAAGGACAAGTCGGCGCTCAACCTATCACTGAATTTGGACAAAATGGAGAGAGTATTGAAGGGAAAGGCGGCCATCGCTCACAAGAAATTCAGCGACTTTAAGGAGAAGGTTCGGGTCGAGGCCCTCGAGATGGAGATCAATCGGTGCGACGATAATAAGCGGCTGAAGCAAGTTCTCGGCGGTTGGGCTTTGAGTTCGTCCCAAATGCGCTACTTGTCGACCAAACCTTACGTATATAACGCGAGCGCAGGTTCCTATCTTGAACTACTCTTTTTGCAAAGGTTGGTCCATTCAATTCATTATTCTATCAAATATATTATTCTTACTGCAGTTACATCTTTTTAAATTGTTTTCTCGTATATTGTATAATTAATAACAAAGATATTGGAGAGAATGTAAGATATTATTGAGCAAAAATGAATGTATATTGTAATCAATAATTGATATTGCATAAGTTATACTGTGTCGGTCGCGAAGGTATACAAAATAGTCGACATCTGTTGGCATTTTTATAAAATAAAATGTGCACTCAAATGTATTGGAGATGCAATATTTTTGATCACATGTTGTAACCATTTGTTTTTATGAGAGTGTTTGCCTCCAATACATTTAAGTGTAAACTTTATTTGATAAAAATGCCAACAGATGTCGACTATTTGGTGTTGTTTGACGGCCCCCACAATAAGTACAGTAATAATAATAAAGTGGTAGCACGAATTTTTGAGTGTTATGCAATACTACTCTCAAGCAGTGACAGTGCATTGAATCTGCTTATCACTCATGTCTGGCTACTCACTCACCACTGCTCAGTAGTTCTGGTTATCGACTACAGTCAGTATTGCATAACCATCATAAGGTCACCACTTCAATTTTATTATACTGTATATTTAGATGTGTTGCTAAGAGTGATAATTATAACGCAAATTATTAAATAATATGTAATAAAAGATTGATATTTACAAATATTTTCTAAGATTATTACTGAAGATTTAATTTAATATATTGATCTATATTTGTTATGACAAAACATAAACAGACTATGGATTTGGTTATCACAATTCATCCCGATATGGATGAGTCCGTGCACTATCACAGTGACAGGTCTGGCCATAAACATAATTACATCACTCACTGTAATATACTATTCACCTGACGCTAGAAGCGAGGTAATTTTACCATGGATTCTATTTTGTTATTGTCAATTTAACAAGATGAATGACGCTATATCTAATTACTTGTATTGTGAATTGTGATGTGTAGGTGACCTGGTGGGCATTTATAATGTGTTCATTGGGTGTATTTCTATACCAAACTCTGGACGCATTGGACGGCAAGCAATGCTATAAAG